GCGGGGCCCGCTGGACGCCGGGCGCGCCCGCGGTGGGTGGGGGCAGCGAGCGCGCGCGCCGCGCGGACATGCAGGGGGCGGCGAACGCGGGCAGGGGCGCGGGGACCCGCGGGCGGGGGTCCCCGCCGCGGCGAGGCGCTCCCCGCACAAAGCCCGGGGCGGGCCGAGGCCGGACCGCGGGGACCCCGGCTGCCTTCGCCCGCCCTGCCCGGGGAAGGCCGCGCGCGAGGAATGGCCCCCCGTGCAGGGGTCAGCGAGGAGCGGTGACCACGGGGCCTGAGAACGGAGGTGAGGGTGACAGGCGGTCGGGCCTCTGGTGGACGGGGACGAATTCACCCCTTCAGAGTGCGGGGAGGGCGAGGGCTTGGGGCAAAGGGCCTGTCGGGTTCCTGTGCTGGTGAATGGTTGTCCCTAGGCTCTGAGGCTGGTAGATCGGGGGAGTCCAAAGGTTTGGAAGTTCACTCTGAGTCCGAGCATCAGGCAGCCGTGCAGGGAGGGACCGTGACTTGCCAGGGTCAGCCTGACCTCACACCATCCTAATTCAGGCTCCCGGACAGAGGAAGCCCCTCCCTAGGGAGAGCGACGGTCGTATACGGATCAGTCCCTTCAGAACTGGTCCCATCCATCCGTTCGTGCCTGAGTATTGGATTCTCCACCTGTTGATGCCCTTTCTGATTTAAGGGCTGTAGTTTAAGAGTCAGCAGGAAGGCACCCTCTCCAGCCTGGTGACTAGGAGCGTCGTGTAGATTTGGTCTCCAGCGCCTCCTTTCTCTCCCCCCGCCCAGCTCTTCCTTCCAGGGGCACTGCCCTTCTCCAGGAGAGGAGGCGAAAGCAGGAGGCAGCAGGGACAAGAACCGAACTGAAAGCCATGTCTCAGGTGAGTTGGCATTTCCACTCTCCTCTCTGAGACGCGGTCTTGCTTTTCAGGACTTAATAATGTTTATTTTCTTTTAAAAGTTTTCAGTTTAAGAGACCTGTCCTGGGAAGCTGGTTCCCATTTCCTCACATTCTGGTGAGTGATGGGCTACAGGGGTAGCCCAGGGCCTCCCTCCCTGCCTCCTCTTCATCCCATTCAGTGTTCGTTCTTCATTGGTGAAGTGATGCAGCCCCTCGCTGTGCCACTTTTCTCAGAGAGACTCTGATGGAGCCGAAAGGTACTCCTTGGGGCAAGCGCGGCAGTTGCTGGTGCTGTACCTGGTTTGTTTGGTATCCACTTGGTGCCAGTCCCTGGAGAAACATGGCTAAGCCCCAGGCCCTGCTCTCAGGGAGCTCATTAGCCTGAGCTTCTAGCTGCCTGTGAGGGAAGGGCAGGGGATCTTTCCCAGGAAGGTGATTTTGGAGCCATGTTTTGAAGAGAGAGGGGATGATTGGCAGCCCTGGTGCAGTGTGAGAGGCTGTCTTTTTCTCACTTGATTGGATGGCTTCTTAAAATGCTGACAAATAGTTTTATTTGTTTCTGACCTCTGTGTCTCATAAATATGACAGCCAGCTCATAAATATAGGAACCAGGTGCCAGTTGTCCCACCCAAGCTACTTGTAAGCAAGTTACCAGTGATCGCCACATTACCGGACGCACTGTCCGGTCCTCCGTCTTTTTTGACTCTCATTGGCATTTGAAGTAGCTCAGGGGTTGGCCGACTTTCACCGTAAAGGGCTAGGTAGTAAATATTTTAGGTTTTGCGGGCCATAAGGTCTCTGCTGCGGCTGCGCCACTCTGCCTTCTCGAACTAAAGCAGCCACGGACAGTATGTAAATGAATGGCAGGGTTGTGTTCCAATAAAACTGTTTACAAAAACGGGGGGCTGCCGACCCTTGAAGTAGCTCATCCCTTGCTCTCTCGTGGGACCCTTTTTTCCCCCTTGGCTTGTAGCACTCATCGAGCTTCCTACCACCTTCCTGGCTTCTCGGTTTTCACTGCTGGTTCCTCCTCCCCTCCCGGACCTACAGCTGTCCCCGTGCCTCAGGATGGTGTTCTTGGCTCTCTCTTATTGTCTGTCTGCACACGTTCTCCTGAGGAACAATGCCTGTTCCCATCTGTAGAAAGCCGTAGGCAGGCTTCTCCCAAATTCGCCTTTCCAGCTCAGACCTCTCCTCTGAGCTCCAGGCCTGTGCATCCAACTTGATTCCTCCTCTTGAATGTCGGGTAGGTAATTCAGACCTCATACATTCACATCTGAAATCTGAGGTTTCCCCCCCAAACTGGCTGCTCCCACAGTTGTGTCTGTCTCGTATTTGCAACCTGACGGTTATCATTATGCCCACTGCCTCCATCGCTGCCTTGGTGCTTATTATCTTACTGTTGGCCCCTCGACTCTCTTTCCGTGACTTCCTGCTTCATCATATGCTCCCTGCGGTCACATCCCAGGGCTGCACCCAGGCGGGGTCTGTCCTAACTGCTGTGTTCCTCTCTGCTCAACCCTCCAGTGGCTTCCGTGAATGAAGGCCACGTCCTTCATGTGCTGACAGGGCCCTACCTGAACGGGTCCTTTGGACCTCTGCCATTTTCCATCCTCCTGCATCACTCGGTCTGCTTCCTCAAAAATTGCCTTCTCATTTCCCCAGGCCTTCTGTCTATAGCTTCAAAGACTCCTACCCACATTCTTCGCATCTTCTTCTCTGCTTTACTCCTTTTTTAAACTCTTAGCGCATTTCAACATACTGTATATTTACTTACTATATCTGGTTTTCTGCTCCAAGTATACTTGACACAGGCAGGGATTTTGGACAGTTTCACCCCCAAAGCCTCATTCAGAAAATATTTGGTAGAGGAATGTGTAAGCTTCTCTTGTAGCCAGTGTTTTGCTATTTAACATAATATTATGATAATCACTTTTCTACCTGGAAATGTGCTTTATCCCTGATTATTTCCTATGAATGCATTCCTAGAAGTTTCTCTTACTTTGTGCATTAAAGTTTATTAAACTGATATGAAATCAGAATACTTTAAAAGTTGTATTTAGGGACACCTGGGTGGCTCTTGAAGTGTCTGCCTTTGGTTCAGATCGTGATCCCAGGGTCCTGGGATTGAGTCCACATCAGGCTCCTTGCTCAGCAGGATCCTGCTTCTTCCTCTGCCTGCCTCTCTCTCTCTCTCTCTCTCTCTAACAAATAAATAAATAAAAAATAAATAAAAGTTGTATTTAGATGGAACAGCAATAGAGTCTCAAAAGCTAGAATTTATGGTGTAAAGAGTAGACTTCACCAAAAAGAAAAACTTACTGATTTTTCATTCACATGCCTTAAAAATTAACTGAATCAAATTGAACCAAAAAAAAAAAAAAAACCCCTCTTTAATGCGTTTTTCTTATAAAAGGCTTTCACTCATTTTTTTCTGTGGAGTATTAATACTCCACAGTATTTCTGTCTAAGGATAAAATTGCTTTTGTTTTCTGTTTGTTTTTTACCTTTTTCTGTCTTTATTAAGATTAAGAGTGAGACCACCAGATCAAATTCTTACGTTGGGTGTACCATTATGTTTTCTCTCTGGTGTAGTGTGACATTTTGAAACCCTTTTGGAAATCTGCACATGTCCACACTAGCAATGGGAATCAGAATAGGACGAGCACAGTTGAGAGTGTTTTGCGTACCCTTGAATGAAGCAGGTTGATCGTTTTTTCTATCTGAAAGCTATGTTGCCTAGTGGATCTTGTTTCATCATCAGGGTGAATGGATAGCAAGCATTGTGGCTTCTGTCAGAGTGGAAGCTTTTTTTTTTTTTTTTTTTAAAGATTTTATTTATTTATTTGAGAGAGAGAGAGAGCACATGAGAGGGGGGAGGGTCAGAGGGCGAAGCAGACTCCCCACTGAGCAGGGAGCCCAATGCAGGACTCAATCCAGGGACTCCAGGATCATGACCTGAGCCGAAGGCAGTTGCTTAACCAAATGAGCCACCCAGGCGCCCAGAGTGGAAGCTTTCAGTAGAGGCATGCTAGTGTCATGGTCACAGGTGTGGACAAAGAAGCCAGGCTGCTTGGGTTCCGGTGCTAGCATTAGCATTTAATTTCTGTGTAACCTCAGGGCAACGTAAATGACCACATTTTCTTCATTTGTAAAAATGCAGATGATAATGGTACTGGCTTAATGTGGTTCTTTTAAGGATTAATTAAGTGAATGCACGTAAAGTGCCTAGAAAAACGTAAAGGTGCCTGGCACATAGTGAGATCTCAGTGTTTGCTGTCGGCATCCTGGTGCCATTGTCATTTAGAAATTTACGAACCAGCCCCTTAGGTGATGCACAGTAACTCAACAATGTATGGTATTGGACAGGAGTTGGCAAACTGGCCTAATCTGGCCTGCCACCTCTTTTTGTATAGCTCATGAGCTACAAATGGTATTTACATTTCTCGGTGATTGAAAAAAAATGAAAATATGTTACAACCTGTGAAAATTACCTAAGTTTACGTTTTGTTGCCCATAAATGAAATCTCCTTGGAGCCTGGCACACGTGGTGTAACTGTGGACTGTGGCAGCTTTCATGCTGCAGGAGCAGGGTTGAGTCGTTGTGACAGAGGCTTTCTGGCCTCCAAAGCCTAAAATATTTGCCCTCTGGCCCTTTACAGAAAGACTGTGCTGGCCCCTGACTTAGAGGTTAAGGGTGTGGACTATGGAGCCAGACCACTGGGTTCAGAATCTTGGCTCTGCAGTTGACTGTGATCTTGGGCAAGTTACAGCGCTCCATTTCCTCATCTATAAAATGGGAATATTGCTAGTACCGACTCTCCGGGTAGTGGTTGAATCAGCTTATATGTGAGTATATAGAATTGTGTCTGGAATATCGTACGTGCTGCAAGCAATAATTGTTACTGTTTATAGTGGAAGAAGTTTGCCAGCTCTCTTAGTCTGTCTGGGCTCCTATCATAGACCAGCATGGACAGTGTGGCTTATACACAACAGACATTTATTTCTCATAGTTCTGGAGGCTGGGAAGAACCAAGATTATGGTGTTGGCAAATTGTATGTGGTGGCTGATGCAGACCGCTTCCTCTTCCATAGCTGGGGCTGCCCTCTCTCGGTGTCCTCATATGGAGGAAGGAACTAAGGAGCTCTAGGCGGTGTGGTGGTGGGGGGGTATCTCTTTTATAAGGACATTAAGACTGTTAAAGAGGATTCACCCTCATGACCAAAGGGCCTCCCAAAAGGCCCCACCTCCAAATGCAATCACACTAGGCGTTAGGATTCCAATGTATGGATTTGGGGGGGACACAAACATTCAGACCATAGCACTAACAGAAGTCATTGGCTCTTTTTTTTTTTAAGCAGTTGTATTTCTTTTTTTAAAAAATCTTATTTGTTTATTTGAGAGAGAGTGCACACGACTGGGGGGTGCAGGGGGCCCCCCTGGGAGGAGCAGAGGGAGAAGCAGACTCCCCACTCAGCAGGGACCCCGATGTGGGGTTTGATCTCAGGATCCTGGGGTCATGACCTGCCGAAGGCAGACACTTAACTGACTGAGCCACCCAGGTGCCCCCAGAAGTCATTGATTCTATATATATATATAAAGGGCAGTCTGTATAAATTGAGAAAATGTCTTATTTGGGAGGTTACACATACATTGTTAATGCTAGGTCCCTCTGGTACATAGAAGTAGAGAGGTGGAGAAGGGGACATTTCTTATTAAGAAAAAAAAATCAGGCCCCAAAAGATCCCAGTTGCCAAGTATAAGAAAATATTAGAACTTATACTCTTTTGTGTAGTAGGGGCTCCAAGTTCCAGTTTTCTTACAAATGACAAGAGTAACAAATACAAGAAAATTGGACATCATTTTCTCTTGCACCAACACTTATAAAGTTATTGTAAAGGTGCCGCAAAGATATTATAGATTTTAAAAAGGTGTTTTGTATACAATATATGTACTCCATTTTATATAATATTTCATTTAGTAAAGACTATATGAGGGGTGCCTGGGTGGCCCAGTCAGTTAAGTGGCTGCCTTCGGTTCAGGTCATGATCCAGGGTCCTGGGGTCAAGTCCCGCATCGGGCTCCCTGCTCCGCAGGGAGCCTGCTTCTCCCTCTTCCACTCCCCCTGCTTGTGCTCTCTCTCTCACTATCTCTCTCTCTCTCTCTGTCAAAAAAAAAAAATCTTAAAAAAAAAGACTATCTGAAAAGATTTTGAATATCTGAAAAAAATAAGTGCAAGACTTGCCAGGCAAGGAGCATATAGACAGAACTGTAAGACTGGAATCTGTGAAAAACCAGCTTTTAGATCAGGTCAGAGTAAAAGCATAGAAGTAGCATGGTCTGAACACCTATACCTTTGAACCAGTTGAAAATATTTGCATTGAAATGGGTTTTTGGGGGGGCATCTGACTGGCTCAATCAGAAGAGCATATGACTCTTGATCTCGGGGTCTTGAGTTCAGGCTCCACATTGGGTATAGAGATTACTTAAATAAATAAATGTTTAAAACAAAAGAAATGGTTGTGGGGTTTTTTGTTTGTTTTTAAGCCACTTTATTGAGGTATGATTGACATGTAGGATCCTGCACGTTTTTAATGTGTACCACTCAATGACTTTGAGGATAAGTATATACTGGTGAAACCATCACCACCATCATCACCTTCCAAATTTTCCTCCTACCATTATTATTATTGTTGTTTTTGTTATTATTTTTGGTGGCAAGAACACTTAACATAAGATCTACCCTCTTAGCAACTTTTAAGGATATAATATCGTATTGTTAACTCTAGGCATGATGCTATACTTCTCCCAAATGTATTCATCTTGCATAACTGAAACTTCGTTCCCTTTGACCATCACCTCCACATTTCTTCCTGCCGCAGCCCCTGGCAGCCGACATTCTGCTCTCTTGCTTCTATAAGTGTGACTATTTTAGCTTTCCCATATAAGTGAGATCATGCAATATTTGTTTTTCTGTGTCTGGCTTATTTCACTCAGCATCTGCATTGAAATGTTTGAGTTTCAGTCTACTTGAAGATTCCACTGAGTCTTGCACAGTTTATAGAATTGGAAGACATTTAACTGCTGGTGCAGGTGGATATGAGCAACGCAGGGAACTAGAGCTGAGCCTTCCCAGCAAAACGAGCTCTCTTGCTACTTATTCAGCCCGCACAGCAGTTTCTCTGCTTTTGTGGCCCGATGCTCCAACTTGACAACATCAGTGAGAGCTGACCAGCATTGTTTTAGACTAGCTTGCTCATGTAGGCATATGAGCATGTCTTTTGCTCAAGGCTCACACTAAACAGTTCTTGGCTGTTTCCTGCAAGTATTAGCAGGTGTTTTCCATGGCGTGGCGCCCTTCAGTCTCCCATTTAGGAGATTTATGTGTCAAGAATTCCCTGTCCTTCTGAAAAACAAACTGAGGGTTCTAGAGGGTAGGGGGGTGGGGGGATGGGTTAGCCTGGTGATGGGTATTGAGGAGGGCACGTTCTGCATGGAGCACTGGGTGTTATGAACAAACAATGAATCATGGAACACTGCATCAAAAACTAATGATGTAATATATGGTGATTAACATAACAATAAAAAATTAAAAAAAAAAAAGAATTCCCTGTCTTCACATAAATCAAGATATCATTTACAAAACCCTTTTGTCTTTACACAGTTTGGTTAAAAATACCTTCAGAATTGTTGCAGGTTAGAGAGCACGTGATAGCATATGATTCAACAGACACCAAACCTCAAAGTGACTTTTGTTTCCAGTAAAACTAAGGGAAGCTATGAACAGGAGAGTTCAGGTGCTGGTCAACAGCATGGTAGCTGACATTCATTTACACGTTCGTGGCGCCTTGCACATTCTGAGTGCTGTGCAGGTGCTGTGTTGTTTGGTCCACGATCTGTGAGGTTTTGTTGGTTTTTCCATTTACTGTTGGGGAGCCAAGACAGAGAGGTAAAGTAACTAGCTGAGATCACAGGGCTGGCGTGTGCTGCAGTCTGCATTCAGGCTCTGTGGGTAGTCGGACTTTCCTGCTCACTGATTTCAGTATATACTTTTAAAATCCCGGGGCTGCTGGTCATTTAAATCTAGAGGGCAGCCACTGGTGGGATTCCTGGGGTCAGAGTGTGAATTAAATAAATGTTTCAAATACATTGGAATGTATCAGGATTATACACTGAAATCATAAAAATCCGCCAACAGTGGGTGAGATGGGCAGTAGGCTCACTCTCTTACCTGTTGTTCATGGGACCTCCTCGACACTTCCCAGCTTCTCTGAGACGGCACCTTGATTCTGAAGGGCAGTTTGTAGTATTTTTCTTTCTTAATAAACACTCATCTTTATTTCAGGAAAAAAAAGAATTTTGTTTAGGTTTTTTGTTGTTGTTGTTGTTGTTGTTAACATGAATGCTCAACATCTAATGAACACTGAAAGTGAAATAGAAATCCTTAGAACCGACTTTGAGGTTTAGTCTTCTGGGCCTTTTGAGGTTCATCTTTGGGTTGATTTCCCCATTCTTGTGCTGATCCAGGCCACTCGTGTGTCCTCGTGTTGAAGAATGCTCTGGTACCTCTTGTGCATGGAGCAATTGAGCTGCCATTATTTATGTTCTGAATTGATGTCAGATATTTTTCTTGTGTATACAGCTGCACAAAATTGCCACTTCTCCAAGGGCAGGGGCTATCTCTGTATTTTTCTCTTTTCTCTGGATATTATTCCTTGTATGCATAGTCTCTCACCCAAAATGAGGAGAAGGTAATCCTTAGACCCCTATATGAGTCTGCTCGGGCTGCCGTATCGGGCTACCGTATCGGGCTACCGCAGACTTGGGGCTTAAAGAACAGACAGTTATTTTCCCAGTCTGCTCTGGAGGCTGGAAGTCGGAGATCACGGTGCTGGCAGGGTTGGCTTCCCCGGAGGCTTCTCTCTGGCTTGCCAATGACCACCCTGTCACTGTGTCCCCACACATTCTTCCCTCTGTGCACTCGTATCCTTCATGTCTCTGACACCAGTCAGATTGGATTAGGGCCTGACCACGTGACTTCATTTAACTTTTAATCACCTCTTTTAAGGTCCTGTCGCCAAAATTAATCACATTCTGAGGTACTGGGTGTTAGACTTCAATGTATGAATTTGGGGGACACAGTTCAGTCCATAACAACCCCCCAGTCTAGGGGGCCATGAGCACTGACTGAGCAAGAATGCGGTTTTGTCCTTGCAGAGCTTGGTGACATTTGGGGATGTGGCTGTAGATTTCTCCCAAGAGGAGTGGGAATGGCTGAACTCTGCTCAGAGGAATCTGTACAGGAGTGTGATGTTGGAGAACTACAGGAACCTGGTTTCGCTGGGTAAGGGTACGCCCCCCCCCCCCATTCTCCCAGCTCTCCTCTGCCTGCTGCTGTAGCTCAGAGCCCTTTACTCCTTTAGCACCAGGCCCTGCACTGCCACTCTTTCATCAAGCCAAGGGGCCTGCATCTCAAGTTTGCACAGATCCACAGTGTGACCACCTCCTGTTTCTTCTTGTGTATTTAGGACTTTGCGTTTCTAAGCCTGATATGATCTCCTCATTGGAACAGAGGAAAGAGCCCTGGATGGTGAAGAGAAAGTTGACAAGAGGCCGGTGCCCAGGTGAGCATGGGAGGCCTTGCTGGCGGGAAGGCCCTGCGGGTCACAGCTCAGGACCTCAGCCATGTAGGATCATAAGCAGGCTCTTTCCAAGCCTCCAGGCCTGGAGGGAAACTGAGGCCTCTTGAGCATGGGCTCGCTAGATGTTCATCCTACCTAATCTCTCCACCTTTGCTTTCCTCCCTCTGAACATTACTTCTTTCCTCTCTGAATCCCGTTTTTTCCTAGCTCCTTCTCAGACCCTTTGTCATTCAAGCTTACATAATCCTGTCTCTTCTTTAAAAAATCCTTGGCCGATGCTGATAATGCTTTTATTATCTTATTTCTCTTTGATTAAGTGACTGTTTCGTGTATAGACTTCTTTCACTGACTTTCATTGTCAGTTTTGAGTAAGGCCATCAGATACAGGTTGGTGGATGAGTGTAAGCTGTTGAAGAATTAACCATGTCACCAGGGAAATAGGGCATATCTGTACATAAGTTAAGTGAAGTAGAAACTGTTATCCTGTGTATGGTAAGTATGAATAGGGGCCAAAGAGGAAGAAGAAAAATCAGTCCCAGTTTCAAGGCAGAGAAACAAGAATGAGAGTAGAGCCTTTAGCAGAAATGTTAGAATTATAAGAAAGAGACCAGCAAGCCAGGAGCTGGGTCTGGGTGGGGCTGTCATCGATTTGGGTGCAGGTGGGCCTCCCAGTGCAGACAGGACCGGACAGTGGGGTGACTGGCTCTCAGAAGAGAGTGCGGATGCTGATTTGACAGACAGATCTTACAGATATTGTGATGGTATTTCTATCATCTGGGAATACAGCGATTTCAACTACAACATTATTTCTGGAACAACAGATCAATTAAGACAAGGGATCAGAATTATAGACTTCTCTTGGAGGTTACTACAAGGGGAAATGTCAGCAATTTCTAAAGAATTGAGGATCTCATACAACCTCTTTGTTGAAATCATACTTTGAGGGAAGACTTTATATTTGACAGAACAGGACAGACCGCTCGCAGAACTTCTGACAACTCTCATGGGTTGTCATCGGGTACAGGAGAACCGTGAAACTCTTCCATTTAACATACTAAATCACGTTCTCTGAACGACTTTTATAAAATGAAATAGCCAATCCTTCATTTCTTGCCAAAATTGTAGTTGATTCTGAAGACTTGCACTTCTAAGGCCGGGATTCGAATTTCCATTAGTTAGCATTGTAATAAAAGAGGCATTGTTTAAAAAAGAGAGAAAAGAAGTTTTAGCTGGAAAAATGGAGAAAGAGTCAAGAGTTTTACTTAATGTTGAAATAAGGAACATACAGCAATTTTCTTCTTTAGCCTCTCCCCCCTCTTATTTATATTAGCTATATGTCATCTTAGATTTAAGTAAGAAAGCTCATACTGTATCCTTTAGGATGAAAGCTACACAAATACGGGAATGTAGGGTTGGCTAGTCATATAAAAAAGCTTTCGATACGATAGGGGTTTTTTGGGGATTTTAATTCCTCTGATTACATTTTGGAAGTTCTCTTCATATTAATACATAATGGAGAAAACCTTCTTAATATATTTCAGATTTGAAGACTGTGCCGGAGACTGAGTTACCTGCAAAGAAGGACATCTCTAAAGAAAAGTTACCCCAGGCAGTGATAATGGAGAGACTCACAAACTACAGTCTGGAATGCTCCATATTAGGGGAAAACTGGGATTATGGTGCTCTGTTTGAGAGGCAGCCAGTAAGTGAGCTAAATTCTAGTCAAGTCACAGTATCCTTCCAAAAGAAACCCTTCTTGAGGGGAGAGACCATGACCACAGGGAGTTTGGGAGAAGTTTCTGTTTGAGTACGGTGCTTCCTGTAGATGGAATACCCCGCCGGAAGGAAGAGCACGCAGTCTTGATGCATACTAGAAGAGGGGAACAATTCAGTTGTAATGAATCACAAACAAGTCTCTTAATCAGAAACATTCAACATATGATGACATGAGAAGACTTTGAGCAGGATTTCAACCCGCCCCTCTCATGAAAGATTACATATGAGAGGGAAACCCTGCAGACTTGTCGAGTCGTGCGTGTTGAAGGTGGGGAAACCTTCAGTCAGCGTTAGGAAATTCCTACTGTGTGTAAGTTCGTTTTCTCCTGCAAAATTACAGATTCTCCATGGCAGAAACAGATTCTCCGATTTTTCTTTTTTTTTTTCCACAAACGTAGACACTCTGACGAGGCCCAGTCATTATGTGACCTGGATCACTCAGAACTTAAGTGAGAATTCTTGCACAGGTTGTCTCTTTCACACACCTCCCCAGAGCCTTTGCAGGTTTGTGGGCACGTTTGATCAAAGAGTGTGTTTGTACCATTTCAGGGCTTGGTGACCATCACGAACATGGCTGTAGACTTCTCCCGGCAGCTGGACCTAGCTCAGAAGAGTTTCTGTAAGAATGTGATATGGGAGAACCATGGTGACCTGGGGTCAGTAGGTAAGGATGTCCCTCCTAAATCTGAACCTATCTTCCCGAACTGCCACTTTCATTCCTCAGGTTTTGTTTTTTTGAGATTGTTTATTTGAGAGAGAAAGAGAACGAGAGAGCATGAGCGGGGGGAAGGGCCAGAGGTAGAGGGAGAAGCGGACTCCTCACCGAGCAGGGAGCCTGATGTGGAACTTGATCCCAGGACCCTGAGATCATGACCTGAGCCGAAGTCAGACGCTTAGCCTACTGAGCTACCCAGGGGCCCCCATTCATCAGTTTTGAATTGTGGAGGTCAGGAAGGGGTCTTCTGAAGTGTTGGGCTAAATTTGTCGTGATTCCTAAGATGAGAATTTGACGTTTGTAGAGTTGAAAGTTGGTATCTTCATTATGCTTGAAGCATCGTCTTCTATGTCTTTCAGACACTGCTCACTTTTCTTTCTGCTTCTTCCTGTAATAAAACATTTTTCTATCAAAGCCAAGGAATTGGTTCTCGATTTAAGAATGTCAGGTGTGTGACAGAACCCCATATCTGCCCATATGCAGGACCCTGTGTTTCTAAGCCAGATTTGGTCTCTCTGCTGGAGCAAGGGAAGGAGCCCTGGATGGTGGAAAGAGAGCTGACAAGGGGCCTGTTCTCAGGTGAGTGTGGCAAGCCTAGGGGGAAGCGCCGCTGCAGGTGAGAGCAGAGCTTTCACCAGAAGCCGCGAGTCCTCACTCATGTACGGGAGAAGATGCACGGGACTTTACCAAGCCCTCCAGGTCTAGAGAGAAAATGGAGGTCTGGGGTTTCAAAGTTACTCTCTTTCCAACTTCTTTGCTGCCTTCTCTCGAGTGATTGCTCATTCCCTGTAATGTTCTTCCTGCTCTTGGCTACTTATGTCTGCTCCGTTCCCTACATGCCCTGTCCTGACCCCGATGTACTCTTGAGCTGTTTTTCGTGATCACCTGGCCCGCTCATTTCATTATGCATCCATTCCTGTAAGAACCACGAATTGAAAGTTATTTGAGAGAGCCATTGTGCTTGGCATTGGCAGGTACTTGGAGAAAGAGAATTTACACATATGTTGTAATTGTAAATGGTCACTCCAGTGAAAAGGATGAAACATGTTTATGGATGAACTGGATGAAGTAGGGTTTGCAAAATTTCCAATAGGGCATTGCAGAGGTAAAGGAGAGGATTGATTTCCCAGCTTCCTTGTTTGAGTCAGACAGGGTGGGCAGAAGTTGGATTGCAAGAAGATATAAGTGGAGGGTCTCTTCTTTTTGGGGGTGGGTTCTCTTCATCTTTTGATACATAAGGGAAAGAATAAATTTCTTTAGAAAATAATGGTTTATAGAATATGTAATCCTGTCACCTGTTTGGAAGCAGAATGTAAAACCATGACCTATAATCACAGTATGTTAACGGAGCAAGCATAGACTTCTTCAAGTGAAAAACACGTATTTTTCACATAGTTGGAATTGCAGTGTGTATTCCGTCACACATAGAGATGTTTTTCACATGCATTCTGTGTCATATATCCTATTGCTCAATTAGGTTACTTCACATTTTTGTTATTAAAAATATACTTGCAACAGGTATCTTTATGTAAGTGAAAACTGTACCTTTTTGGGATTGCTGCATCCCTGGATAGAAACATCTGTTAGGCACTGAAAGTTTTGGTTGCTTTCAGCAACTCTAGCAATGATTAGATAACTTGACACATGGGATTAATGGCATCCTCCCAGCACTGGCTATTTCGATGAAAATATTTGCTTATTATTTGTTGAAGATTATACCCAAAATTATTTTTTTTATTGTGGAAGAGATTGAATACTGTTTCTACATTTATTTATTCTTTTTATTCTTTTGTTAAATGTACCTCATTTGTATTCATTTCTCTACTCATGTCTTAAAAGCTTTCTTAACAGTTCCAGTGATTTTTTTCATATCAACATACTAATTCTTTGATGTTTGGTTTCACACTTTTTCACATATGGTAATAAGAGTTTCTGTTTAATTAGACCTTTTTAAAATTGTATGTAAAAATTTTAACATTTTTATGTAGTATCATATATTACTTTTATGAATTCTCCTTCCATTTTTGTCCTTAGAAAGTTGAGATATGTGATTCTACTTCATTGTTTTATTTTTATTATTTACTTATTTATTTATTTTTAAAGATTTTATTTATTTGACAGAGAGAGACACAGCGAGAGAGGGAACACAAGCAGGGGGAGTGGGAGAGGGAGAAGCAGGCTTCCCGCGGAGCAGGGAGCCCGATGCGGGGCTCGATCCCAGGACCCTGGGATCATGACCCGAGCCGAAGGCAGACGCTTAATGACTGAGCCACCCAGGTGCCCCTCTACTTCATTGTTTTAAAAGCTGTCTAGTATTATGATAAATGAATATAAATTTACTGATTTACTGTTAAGGATATTTGAACATTTAGGTCTTTTCCAGTTTTTACCTATAATAAATTGTGGTCCAGTTTGTACTTCTCTCTTTGCATGATCAAAGTATACATTTTTTAAAAAAAAGTTTCATGGATATAGTGCTATACCACTGGTGAACAATATCTGAGAATGCCTGTTTCTAGACATCTTCACCAATAGTATTTTATATTTTTTAAATTTTTGCCAAGCTCTTGGGTGAAAATGGATGTTTTATTTCATTTGCATTTCCTGGAGTACTTGTAATGTTGAGAAATATGCAGTTTAAATCCATTTAGTGTTCATATTCTGTTAATGTTGTCTTCATACTCATCACCCACATTTCTTTTGGGTCATATTTCCTTGTCTTTCTGTTGTTTCAATATAAATCCTATCTCAAAAATGTGATACATTTTGTTCCCACTTTTGGGTAGCCTGTAAGTTTGCACATGCTCTTTCTTCTCACCATACAGTAGTTTAAGTTGGGTGGTATCTTTATAGAAGTATTTACTTTGTTGACCTTTTGTTTCACTCATAGTTTTTTCTTTTTATTAATAGAGGTATCATTTCCATTTGTACCACATCACAGATGTGGTCTTCTTTATGTTACTTACTTAATTCTTTCTTGCTCTCTTCCTATCTTTGAATGAACACAGTATGTTTTTCCATTTTTTAATATCTTCTTAATTTCATTCAGCAATGTTTTGCAGTTTTCAGCATATGATCTTGTACCTCCTTGGGTAAATTTATTTGTAAACAATTTATTCTTTTAATGCTGTCCTTCATGGAATTGTTTTCATAATTTCCTTTTCAGATTGTTCATTCCTAGTGTATAGAACTACACTGATTTTTGTGTGTTGGGATCTTGTGTCTTGTAACTTTGATGAATTGATTTATTAGCTCTAATACTTTTCTTGTGGATTCTTTAGGGTTTTCTATATGTGGGATCATGTCATCTTCAAATGACAGTTTTATTCTTCCTTTCTAACTAGGATGACTTTTATTTCTATTTCTAATTGCTTTGGCTAGAATGTCTAGTACAGTGTTGAGTAGAAGATGCAAAAGCAGGCATCCTTGTCTTAATTACTGACCTAAGAAGGAAGACTTTAAGTATTTAGATTTCATTAAAAAAGACTTCCCTTTTTTAAGATAATCTTTTTCCAAACATTTGATTTTCTGCGTCATCTCCCCAATACCACTTTTATCTATATGTATTTATTGAGATATAACTTTATGTGCATAAATTTTTGGTGCATGCTAAGCGATTTATTTAGCAAAAGGACTTCAGGCATATACACTCCTCCCTGTAAGCATTAGAGTCTGAGATAAGACATATGCTTGTTCAGTAGTGTATATGATGTGATTAAATATAATGGCAGCATGCACCATTTTTATAAAAACAGTTGTTTCGAACCAAGAAATTAAACTGCAAGGTCCTGTTCATTAATATATGGCCAGAGAAGTGAAGAATTAATTAATAAACGGCCAGAAAAGTGTCAGGCCTATGAAAGCATGCAGGTGAATGTAAAAATGATTGTATGTGTCTACTGAGCTTCAGCTTTTGGTTGGTAATGTAGGTTTTGTTGAAATTAAATAAGATGTGGTTAGCAGAAACCTTATTTTCCGGTTGTAGGGGAATGACCAGCTTTCAGGTAATCTTGATAAATGGTTTTTTTTGTTTTGTTTTTTTAAGATTTTATTTGACAGAGAGAGACACAGCGAGAAAGGGAACACAAGCAGGGGTAGAGGAAGAAGCGGCTCCCCACTGAGCAGGGAGCCCGATGCGGGACTCGATCCCAGGACCCTGGGATCATGACCTGAGCTGAAGGCAGACGCTTAACAGACTAAGCCACCCAGGCGTCCCAATCCTGATAAATGTTAATGAATACTTTGTCTTTTTGGTGCTTTCATAGCCGGCACTGAAGCAAGACAGGACAGGAGAGAGAGTAAAGGCAATGAATGTCAGCATTCTTAGGTGGTGTGATTGCAGAACATTTTCCCAGTTCCCTTCTCCTAATATGTAACTGATTCCACATATATTTTATTCTTTTCTGCTCACCTCTTGTAGGCTCCTGTATAAATTCATGCTGGGGCTTACTTACATACATTGTCAACTGCATGTTTACGTGTTTTAGAGCCACATAGTTTATGTGGTTTAATTAGGGCTTATTTCACCAATTAGTGAATTCATTCACAATTTTTCTTTTAGCAAATTCCTTTTTCTAGCACACAATAAAGGAAATATTTGTTTTCTTGATATCTTTCAGGCCAGCAATCTATAAATGAGACCCAGGAATTATTTTCAAAGCAAGATTCATTCGCTGAAGTAACAGATAGAACTTCAAACACGAATTTGGAGTGTTCCGCTTTCAGAGAAAATTGGGATTCCGAGGGTATGTTTGAAAGGAAGCTGGCAGGTCAGGAGACACAATTCAGGCAAGAGGCAATCACTCATAACAAAACCCTCTCTAAGGAAAGAGAATGTACTTTTAATAAATCTGGAAGATGGTTTCATTTGGACATTTCAGAAGAGAGAATTCATAATTGTGATTCAGTTAAGAAAAATTTTCCCAAAAATTCAGTGGTAATAAAACATCCAGGAATTTATGCAGGAAAAAAACTTTTCAAATGTAATGAATGTAAGAAAACTTTTACCCAGAGCTCATCCCTTACTGTTCATCAGAGAATTCATACTGGGGAGAAACCCTATAAATGTAATGAATGTGGAAAGGCCTTCAGTGATGGCTCATCCTTTGCTAGACATCAAAGATGTCACACTGGCAAGAAGCCTTATGAATGTATCGAATGTGGGAAAGCTTTCATACAGAACACATCCCTTATTCGTCACTGGAGATATTACCACACTGGGGAGAAACCCTTTGATTGCATCGATTGTGGGAAAGCCTTCAGTGATCACATAGGACTTAATCAACATAGGAGAATTCATACTGGAGAGAAACCTTACAAATGTGATGTATGTGACAAATCCTTTAGATATGGCTCATCACTTACTGTACATCAAAGGATTCATACTGGAGAAAAACCATATGAATGTGATGTTTGCAGAAAAGCCTTCAGCCATCATGCATCACTCACTCAACATCAAAGAGTGCATTCTGGAGAAAAGCCTTTTAAATGTAAAGAATGTGGGAAAGCTTTTAGGCAGAATATACACCTTGCTAGTCATTTGAGGATCCATACTGGAGAGAAACCCTTTGAATGTGGGGAATGTGGTAAATCCTTCAGTATCAGTTCACAGCTGGCTACTCATCAGAGAATTCATACTGGAGAGAAGCCCTATGAATGTAAGGTTTGTAGTAAAGCATTCACCCAGAAGGCTCACCTTGCACAGCATCAGAAAACTCATACAGGAGAGAAACCATATGAGTGTAAGGAATGTGGTAAAGCCTTTAGCCAAACCACACACCTTATTCAACACCAGAGGGTTCACACTGGAGAAAAACCCTATAAATGTATCGAATGTGGGAAGGCCTTTGGTGATAACTCATCCTGTACTCAACATCAGAGGCTTCACACTGGCCAAAGACCTTATGAATGTATTGAATGTGGGAAGGCATTCAAGACAAAGTCCTCGCTTATCTGTCATCGCAGAAGTCATACGGGAGAGAAACCTTATGAATGTAGCGCATGTGGCAAAGCCTTTAGCCATCGTCAGTCCCTTAGTGTCCATCAGAGAATTCATTCTGGAAAGAAACCATATGAATGCAAAGAATGTAGGAAAACCTTCATCCAAATCGGACATCTTAATCAACATAAAAGAGTCCACACTGGAGAGAGATCCTATAAGAAGAGCAGAAAAGTCTTCAGGCAGACCGCACACCTTGCTCATCAGAGAATTCATAATGGAGAGTCGTCAGCACGCCCCTCTTTACCTTCCACGTCGAATCCTGTGGATCTGCTTCCCAGATTTCTCTGGGGTCCGTCCTCACTCCCATCACCGTAGTCTCAACATTGTTATTTCAGCTGGACTGCTCCATTAGTTTAAAAACTGGTCCCTCTGTTTGGTTGGTTTTGTTGTCCTTTATGAGTTTGTTCTTCACATTGCAGTCAGATTGATTTTTTTTTAAGTGTAAATACAATTCATTCACTTCTTAGGTAAAAACTTGTGTTGAGATCCTTTAAATTGGTTAATACGTAAGATGTGCTTAGCAAAGAGCCTGGTCCAGACCAAGTGTTGAGTAAAACATTATTTTAGGACATTGAAGAGTTACCACAGTCAGCTCTGAATAAAAATGATGCATAGGAGGAGGCCAGGAGAAACCAGTTTAGATCAGAAACAGAAGTTTCAAGGTAGTCAGCGAGGTTTTGCCAATGGTGGTTTAAAACTTGTTTCCATAATGTTGAGTTAGAACTATGGTTTCCCATCTCATCTGCATAAATGTAAGGTGATGTGACTTTATTGGTGAGAGAATTCAGCTTTACTATACATCTGACAACAGTCTTAGGAAGTGTGTAGAGAACATGGATCAGTAGGCCTCTTAGAACAAAAGAAACAATCAGAAAAAAAATGCAAGATTTATATGTACAAAGGTAAACTACTGACATGTTACTCAAGAATTAGAAAATTTGGAAAGATCTGATCTATTTAAAATCACCTGGGCTTACGAATGAACTTGCTTCAACTTTTAAGGAACTGTCAACCTTGAGGTAAACCATTCTAATGTAGGTGTCAGCAGACTAACCCAATGACCAAAGTCTCACTGGTTTTCCATGATCTAAATTAAAAATGTTTTTAAATGGTTGAACAAACAAAAAGAATATTTTGTGACAATGTGAAAGTTACATTAAATTTAAAATTCAGCGTCTGTAAATGAAGTTTTATTGGCTTACAGACACACTCATTTGTTCACATTTTCCTGTGGCTGCTTTCACTCCACAGTGGCAGAGTTGAGTAGCTGCAACAGAGCCAATATGGCCCACAAAGCCTCAAGTATCTACTCGGTCCTCTTACAGAAGAAGTTTGCCAACCCTTACTCTGGCACAGAGAAGAATATACTAAAGGTTCTAATTATTTCTAAGTGTATAATACAACTCTCACTTCCAAAACAAGACAAACTATAAGGCAACTTATGAGTAGAGGTGAAAGGGAATTATTAAACTATTGAAATAGGAAAATATGTCCATAGAGGAGAAATACATTTTTCTAGATGAAACAATACTGTGAACGTGTTTGTAAATTGTCATTCACAACAGAGTCCCAGTAAGGATATGTTTACTTTGTTTTAGTTGAAACTACCCAAGGAAAGATAATTGGGCAAGCATAGCAGGACATTTTTGAAATAGATTTCTTCGCATTTCAGATTTTGGTATATAGTAAGACTGGTTTTTTGTTATTGGGGGAAATGTTTTGACAGTTGGTTATCCACCCTCTTAAAGAAAAAAAGCACACATACCTTACAGAAAAATATCATGCAATTGTATTTAACATTTCTAATTATGAAATGATATGTAAGAAGCAAACATAAAAAGGACGTCTTTACTAAGTAGGACATGGGGTCCTAGGAGACATGAGGAAGGGAGTAAGTTGGCCTGGACAAAGATTTAAAACTTCAGCATGGTGGAAGTCACCAACAAGATGTAAAAGACGACAAAATAATACAAGTTATATGAAAAACTAGGTCCTTTGGGAACAAAGTGCCATTACACATACAAAGAAGTAGGGGGAAAATTGGCAGTGCATACCAACAAGGCATGTTGGTTGAAGAATTCAAATGAATAGAGAAAATCTAAATTTCTTAGCCTCGCTAATTGGAAAATTAAAAATGAAAACAAATTTTCTTAGCTTTCAGATGGATTAAAATCTAAAATTTGGATAATATCCGGTACTGGCATCAGTGTGGGAAAACAGATATTTGATCATTAGCTGTGTAAATTTGTCTCCTTTTTGGATGGCCACATAGTATGACTTATCAACATTATAAATATGCGTTCCTTTTGAAACAATAATCCTAGATCTAGGAATTTTGTCCCATTGGAATAAATAGATGTAAATAATGTTTATTGTAAAATTGTTGTAATTATGATAAATAGGATTTCAGTGTCCTGCCAAGCAGGTTCATTAAACTGTGATTATTCAATACTATATTGTCTGGTTAGTAGAAAGAGGTTAAAGTCTGTGTAAGCTTCTATGGAGAGTTGTCCGTCCACAATATATTAAATGAGATATGTGACTTGCAAAACCTAATGTGTGAAATCTTGTAGTCATAGCGTCATAATTAATATTGAATATGTATATATGTGCATGTGTGTATATACACATACTTTTCAGTATGTATGTTGAAATCTGTTTTTGTCTTTAACACACACTCTTTCTAGCTCTTGGTTGGCATGTTCACTTTCTTCATCTGTGGTGTTCCACAGTCACACGTGGATCTAATTAAGCCAATTAGATTTTTATTCTTTGTGTTTTGATTGGAGACATAGGGACAGGAGCAGGGCCAATATTCAGCCTTATATATGGCATAACGGATGTTTTCTTTCAGTATTCATTGTGATTGGTTGGGGCCCTTTTGTAACTAACTGTTAAGAACGTGAAGTATCACTCCTGGGCTGAAGTACTGTAGTTGGAGTTGAGTCATCCTTTGGCAGCAGCATGAAGATTTCTGCATCCCCACCTAGTGGATCACACTCTGATCCACTAAAACCTTTCTCAGATCCTCGTTCGGTTCTTTAGATCAGTGAGGTACTTGATATTCTTCCAATATTTAATTTCTTTTTTTTTTTTAAAGATTTTATTTATTTGAGAGAGAGAATGAGAGACAGCACATGAGAAGGGGGAGGGTCAGAGGGAGAAGCAGACTCCCCGCCGAGCAGGGAGCCTGATGCGGGACTCGATCCTGGGACTCCAGGATCATGACCTGAGCTGAAGGCAGTCGCTTAACCAACTGAACCACCCAGGCGCCCCTCAATATTTAATTTCTGATTTTAACTCTGCTTTTGTTCTCAACCAAAGAAAGCTAGTCCACATGGCAGCTGATATTGGAGAACGATTAGCAAAGGATAGAGAAGTGGAATATTCAGGATTGATTATTGTCAAAAGATAGAAACTTTTTTTTTTTAAAGATTTTATTTGACAGAGACACAGCGAGAGAGGGAACACAAGCAGGGGGAGTGGGAGAGGGAGAAGCAGGCTTCCCGCGGAGCAGGGAGCCCGATGCGGGGCTCGATCCCAGGACCCTGGGATCATGACCTGAGCCGAAGGCAGATGCTTAACAACTGAGCCACCCAGATGCCCTATTTCCACTGTATTTAATAACTGGTCCCCAGGATCGAAACTGCATTAGGGTTTTGTTTTAATTAAGAGCATTTCATGGCATGGCTGCCAAGTCACACATTGATTTGTGTCAATAGAAAAGGGACTGAGCACTCTTGAATGATTGTAATTAAAATCACTATGAACATTTCCACTGGAATTCCTAAAAGACTTGCATTTATGCAAATGTTGGCTTATAGGGGAATTATTGTTTAGCTTATAGCAGGTCCAGTTACCAAAAACCCATAATATGATTATTTTCCAAAGTCATGGGTATTTGTTAATATCTGTGTTATGACTAGATGACCACCAAAGTTTGTGCTTTTTCTATTGTCTGGAATTGATTCTGGAAAGTGAGTATCCAGGCACATCCTACATTACTCAGCCACTATTGCTTCTGGTTATGGCTATTAGACTAATTTTCTTCAATGTGGTTTGAATAGCAGTATGTCAGTTGGGGCTCTGTTAATAAGATGACGTACTGTCCAGCTGGAAGAAGAATCTTGATAATATGGAATGGCAAAATTGCAAGAAGGAAGAACTCTGGGCCCCTAAACCACTGTTTGGAGAAAAGCCATCAGTCACCCAGGAGCACCAGCAATGGATTATTACGTGAGTGAGAAATAAACTTGTATGTGTTAAAGTGATGACACTTGGGTTTTGATCATAGTAGCTACTGTCATTCTAATCCATATGGTATCTTTGATTACCGATAGGATCCCTACTTTATTATTATTTTTATTTATTTATTTATTTTTTAAAAGATTTTATTTATTTACCCAACAGAGAGAGACACAGCGAGAGAGGGAACACAAGCAGGGGGAGTGGGAGAGGGAGAAGCAGGCTTCCCGCAGAGCAGGGAGCCCGATGCGGGGCTCGATCCCAGGACCCTGGGATCATGACCTGAGCCAAAGACAGACAATGACTGAGCCGCCCAGGCGCCCCTAGGATCCCTACTTTAACTTGCTGTATCATAGAGTAAGAGTTGTGGTGGTAAGATCGTTAGCTATTATGTAACAAAGGACCCTAAAGCATAGTGGCTTAAAACATATTTATTATCTTACAATTTGTTTGCGAAAGGAATCCAGGCATAGCTTACCTGGGTGCCTCAGCTCCCACAAGGCTGCAGGCAAGTTGTTGGCCAATGCTGCAGTCATCTGAAGGCTTTATTGGAGGAGAATCATCTTCCAAACGCACTTATTTAAAATGTTGGCTGGGTTGGGGGTCCTTGCTGGCTTTTGGCTGGGCACATCAGTTCTTTCCACATGGGCAGCTCACAGCATGGCATCTGCCTTCCTTGAAAGTGAGCAGGCAAGAGAGGGTACCTAAGACAGAAGCCAAAGTCCTTTTGTAACCTATTATTAGGTAGTGACATCCCTTCTTTTTGACATCCCTTCTTTTT